ATTGCACTTCGATAATCATCTGTACAAATACTGTTTCTATACCCCCCCTACCCCCCCCCCGCCCTCTCTCTCTATATATATGTATACACGCACACCCCACATTGTCGTCTTAATTATAATTGTTTTTTTTCCTGTTCCATGTATTTGGATACTTCTCTAATTAATATTCTACTATTTTTTCAGGTTAAGTATTTGTGGCTTCTTTTTGATTTAGCTGCTGGTCCAGATAACCTGGTTGAGAATGGTCCATACAAGTAAATCGTCTATACCGTTGCTTGTATTCATTATTTATGTTATTCTTTTAAGTTTCTGCACTGCCCTTCCTCCTTCCCCATGCGAAGAAAGAAAAAAGAAGAAAAGAAAATGCACCACTTTCCGTTTCTTTTCCTTATTTCTTTAAATTTTCTCCATCTTCCTTCTGCTCAATAGTTTTGGCATTTCTTTTAATTTTGAAGGTATATTTTCAGCACAGAAGGTCATTTATTGCCCGCAACTCCTCAAATATCCTTAGTACGTGAGCATTGTTCCTACTTCGGAGCATATTGTAGGAACAGCAATTTGATACTGAAAACTCATACACCTGAGAGTGCAGAAACTAATTCCAGTCACTCTCAAACACAACCTGCAGACTCAAGTTCCTTATCGCACTCCAGTTATCAAAGTTCCCCACCTATAACTGGTTTGATTAAGGTCAGAAATTTAAAAGGTTCTTATATTGACTAATTCCTATTGAATGTTTAGTTCAATCATTGGGAATTTGCTAACATGAAATCCCCTGCTTTGTACAGCTTGATCTTCAAGTTGAAATTTTACAAACTAAAGTTTCCTAATACTGCTTCAAATATCTGCAGTTCAATAGATATAATATTTTCTTTTGATGAAGATCAATAGATCATAAAAATTTTGTAGTTTGACTTGGATATTTGTTTGGTAGAAGAAATGTTAAAGTAATTCTTGTAGTGTGGGTGTGAAATTTGATTTGACTTGAAAAAAGTCACATGATAGATTAAGGTTGAATTGTTTAGCTAAGTTTGAAGGCTTGCAACCTTTTTCTGTGTGTGATTAGTACTATTTTTCTTATGATATGGAATACGATGGGTCTGATAATCCTCTCAAAGAGGTTGGTAATCAAAGTAGCATTTAAAGAGACCAAGCTGGCAGAGGTAGTGAAACAGGTAGCTCGTAGTGCGTGTGTAATGGATTGGGTAGGTGGATTCTATAGATAAAGGGGCAGCATACAGTATATTTGTATCATGGGGCAAAAGGTTGATGTTTATGGTCAAGGGTTAAGGTGCTTAATCATGCAATACTGGTGAAATATAACGCTAACTTGGGTGTCTATCATAAATAGGTACATCAACTTATCAAACAAAAATTAGTATCGTTTTTTTCAAAATAGGTGCACATCCATATTCTTGGATTAATCTCCCTGGAGAAGATAAACTAGTGTACAAATTCCTGTATGGGCTAAACTGCTAACTTCTCTAGTATTAGGGAGATCTTGTTTTTCCTTTGCATAATTATCACTATCTTCAGAAATGCAGGAAAAAAGACATTGGCATACTCCTACATTATGCACTAAATGAAACAAGCTCATGGCAGAGAGGGGAGGATGGGAGGTTTCTTGTGGTAGATTCCAATATGGACTTAAACTCCAAATTTTTTTAGTATTAGGGAGCTTTAATGTAGTGACTGTATTTCCTTTTAATCTTCCGCTCAAGTTCTCATAGTTCCTTTTTTGCTGGAATTTTGAAAGTTATATAAGAAGGGAAAGTAATTTTATTGGTCGAAATGTTTTAAATTCTTTGGATGTCCTAATATGGAAGATGTCACTTAAAATGAGGAGACACTCCATTTCTGAACCTTGATTTAATATCTTGTTCTATTTCATATGGATACCATGGCCAGTGACCCTCCAAACTGCTTTAGCAAAAAAAAGAAAAAAGGAAAGAAAGAAAAAGAAAATGATATATATATATATATATATATATATATATATATATATATATATATATATATATATATATATATGAGAGAGAGATATTTCCCATGTTACTGGAAGATCATTTTCACATGAATGCTGAGAGAAATTTGTTTTTCATGGTAGGGACTCTGTCCAGGGCTAACCCATGGACAAAGGTTTGGCATATCACTCACGGCTCCGGTGGATCCAAGTAGCGAGGACGAAAATTCAAGTCAAAGGGAGACAACTGAAGTTCAGAGTCATTCAGTTGTGCTGATTTCAGACCCCAATTCTGAAATTTCCCTATCAAGTCCCCATAATGATCACGACAATGATCCAGTTCGTGCGCCACAAGAAAAGAGCCCCTCTTCTAAAGAAAGCAGATAACCGGACACGATGTGTAATGGAATTTAGCCTTGTCCAATTTGCTGTCCATCAAAGGACTTCCCAGCATTGGTCATGATTGGGAAGGGGTTCAAGCTTCAACATCCTGGAAGGTGAAGTCAGGGTTCTGCTTGTATATGGTGATTTGGCTGGTACCTATCGCTACCAGAAGATGGGCACTAGTGGCAAGAGCTCGATTTGCTTTTTTCAGAGTGCCATGATTCTTAGAATGGTTTATTAGGAGTCACAGTCATATGCATAATACACATAGAAGTATCCTGCAAAAATATAGGAATCAGGAGGTGACAAAACATGTCTAACAAGGTGTCATCCAGGACTTCTTACTGTATACTAAGTTTGCTAACATTTAACTGTTGCGGCGGAGTTGGGTAAGACGGAATATGCTGGTGATCCCAGATCAGAGACAGGAAGAGTGACTAATCAATTTTGTACACTTGAGATTGCTACCACAAGGTATTGATTATGTTCCTTGGTCAGTTATTTTCTACGGGCAATGTGGTATTAGTTTTGCCCAAATTCAAGTTTGTAAATCATGTACTCCAATAATATCAGTCAGTACCAGATGGACTGCATTTTTGGAGTTTTCTGGACCATAGGTTTCTGATACAATAATGGAGTTTTTTAGAATTTGTTATACTTAAAGCCCTGTGTTAGCTCAAAATTGGCTTAATTTTGAAACAAATTCAGTTTGTCAAAACGATCAATAATTAAAATCGAACTAGTATAATCTATTAATGAAATTGGAATTCGTGAAAGCTCTGACTTCTCTCTAGATTTTCTCTCTCTAGAACATCCGCGTTGACGCGCTGATAGTAAACTAACGTGCGCCTCTGCCAGCATGGGTAGAGGGAGACCTAAGAGAGCGATTTCGCTCACAAAATCGATCAAGGAAATAATAAGCAAAACTACAGTTACTGGGAAGGATAAGGTGAGAGATAATGAGGAAATGCATAGCCCTCAGGTTTCAATGGAACAGTTGCAACAGATGGGTGAGATGTGGTCGCGTCTGCAAGGATTGAGTTCAACTCAATCGACTGCAATAGGTAGTGGAGGCCAAAATTCAATGCGTAACCAAACAAAGGTGACATCAACTAGGGCTCCAATTGTAGAGACGATTGAGACTGATATGGAGAATCAGATGAAAGTTGTAAAACAACTAGGTACAAATAAGCTAATCACGATCCAGGAAGTCCAGATCCACAAACAATTGGATGCTGAGCAGCAGAAGAACAAAAAGGAATGGGTGAACTTATTTGCTGGAAATAATTTTGCGGCAAGAGGTATGAATCTCAAATTTGTCGCACCTATGATAAAGGAAGTTGAAAAAGTAGTCGAATAAGATAGCGAAGAAGTAGATCGAGAAACGACAAAATGGAAGCATGCAATTGTTTTGTATGTAGTTGGAGACTCCCCCTCAATAGGAGCTCTTGATCGATTCATTGATGCTCAATGGAATTTCACTAGCAAGCCTAAAATCTACTTCCATAATGATGGATACTTTGTGGTTAAATTCAACTGTGTGGAAGATAGGGATGTTGTGCTGGTGTCCGGCCCACACACTATAAGAAATAAGCCTATCATTGTCAAAGCATGGCCGCCCAACTTTGATTTTGATACAGAAGTGCTTCAAACAATCCCTATATGGGTCAAGTTGCCAAACTTGCCATTAAATTGTTGGAGTATGGACTCATTTAGTAGAATTGGGAGTGGATTAGGAGTTCCACTCTATGCAGTTGAATGTACAACTAAAGTTGAAAGGATTTCCTATGCTAGGCTATTAGTTGAGATGGATGTCACAAAGGCCATGCCTAAATCGATTAAAGTCATGGATCCGGCTGGGAAAATCTTTGACTAACATGTTGCGTATGATTGGTCCCTGAATATTGCCCCACATGCCTACAAGTTGGCCATGTTTGCAGGAATGAGGTGAGAACAGCAAAGGCCATTCTTGTGGCCAAACAACAGCAACCAAAGCCAAGAATGGAATGGAGAAGAAGAGCAGAGCAAGAGAAGGTTGAAGCAGGTACTAAACAACAGCCTCCTAACACGATAAATGTGAAAACACAGCAGGAATTACAACACATAAGTCCAAATAAGGAGGATGACAAAATGACATCCTGGGGATAGCTAAAGGGAAAGCAGCAGCAAAAGGTGCTCAATCCAAGACAAGGGAAACAACAGGGATTAATGTAGTTAATGTGTTCATTCCATTAACTATTCCTATCGCTGGAGAGACACTAGACAACACTACTGGAGAGAAGGGGCAATGCAGTTATCAAGGAGATACTGGGGATCCACAACTCAAACAATCAACTAAATGAAGATCATATCATGGAATGTGAGGGCTGTAAATAAAGTATATAAACAAAAAGAAGTAAAGAAGTTTATACAAAATAATAATGTAAGTTTGATAGCAATACTGGAAAATAGAGTCAAGGAAGAGAATGCCAATAGAATAATCAACAAGATAGCAACTAATTTGAGATAGCGTGCAAACTAATTCTACCGTAACAAGGCTAGAATCTGGATATTATGGGATTCAAGTAGAGTGGAGTTTGATGAAGTTGCTGTGAGTGCTCAAGCCATTCATGGCATAGTTTGGATCCCTCAGCTACAAGTAAAGTTCACTTTGTCTACAATTTATGGACCGCATACAATTGAAACTAGTAAACCCCCATGGGAAGAACTGAGAAGTGTTAATAACTGTATGCAAGGTCCATGGTTAGCTATTGGTGATTTTAATGCAATAGCTTATATGGATGACAGACAGTTTGGGATCCCAGTCCAGGAAAATGAGGTGAGAGATTTTAATGATTTCATACAATCAAATGGCATGGCTGAACTACGTGCAGTGGAAAGAAGATATACATGGACAAATGGACAGATCTATAGCAGGATAAACAGGGCTTTAGTCAATGCTGAATGGCTTTTAACAGTAGCTCCAACAGAAGTAATGATATTGAATCCTGGTTGTTCTGATCATATACCTCTGAGCATACAATTCAAGGAAGTTGTGAAGAGGAATCCAAACCTTTCAGGTTTTTGAATTGATTAGCAGACCACAAAGACTTTTTAAGTGTAGTGACAAATGCATGGGGCAACTATACAGGTACTAAACACATGGAGGATATCTAGAGGAAACTTAAAGTGATGAAGGCAGCTTTGAATCAATTAAATCTTAGAGAATTTAGAAATGTGGAGGAGATCAATCATTATCGATGAAGGTTGCATGAAACTCAATCACAAATGGGGAACCACAATCACCATCACGAGCTGTTTACTGCTGAAAAAGAATTGCAAAGAGAGCTGGAGAAATGGAGTCTCGTGGAGGAGAGTATAACAAAGCAGAAGTCACGAACAAAATGGTTGAAATTGGGACAAGCCCACACTGCCTATTTCTTTGCCAATTTAAAGAATAGGCAAGCTCAAAACAGGATCAAAAGCCTTGTCAATGACACAGGAGAAATCTTACAACAACCTGATGAATAGAGAAGGAAGTGACCAGTTTCTACAAAAAACTGCTTGGTAGTGTTGCTGATCAACTACCAACAATGGCTCCTAATATCATGAAACGTGGGAATGGTTTAATAAGACAGCAACAATTACATCTGATAGCCCAGGTCACAAAAGAGGAAGTGTACCAAGCTTTTGAAAGTATAGATGATCAAAAAGCTCTAGGATGTGATGGATTCAATTCTCTTTTCTTTAAAAGAGCCTGATCTGTGATTGGAGAGGAGGTGACAGATGCAGTGATTCAATTCTTTACTAATGGGGAAATGCACAAAGCTATTAATTGCACTACAATTACATTGATCCTAAAGGTCAAGAATCCATCAAAGGTATCTGAATTCAGGCCTATATCCTGTTGTACTATGGTGTATAAACTTATATCCAAAATCCTCACTAGAAGAATGCAAGGTGTTATGGACAGTCTAGCGGACAAAAGCCAATATGCTTTTGTTCCAGGCAGGTTAATTACTGACAACATTATACTGAGTCATGAACTTGTGAAGGGTTATGATAGAAAAGGCATCACACCTAGGTGTATGCTGAAATTTGATATGAGAAAAGCCTACGACTTAGTGTAATGGCCATATATTGAGCAAATTCTTAACTGCCTGCAGTTCCCAACAAAATTTGTCAAATGGATTATGTGTTGTATATAGACTGTTTCCTACTCAATTATTATTAATGGAGATCACGTGGCACCATTTCAATCCAAAAAAAGACTAAGACAAGGGGATCCCCTATCTCCTTTCTTATTGTGCTAGTTATGGAATATTTCAATCGAAGTTTGAAGGGACTCAATGATGTACCTAAGTTCAAATTCTATCCAAGATGCAAGAAGCAGCAGATTATTCAATTGGGATTTGTTGACGACCTTCTACTGTACTGCAAGGCAGAACTAGAATCTGTCAACTTGCTATTCCAATATTTCCAACATTTCTTGCAGGTATCTAGTTTGGCTGCAAATGTAAACAAAAGTTCAATATATTTTGGAGGGGCGAAGCCAGAGGTCCAACAGACTATCTTACGTGCACTACAATTCACAAAAGGAGATTCCATTTAGATACTTAGGGATTCCTCTGAGTACTAAAAGGCTATCAATCATTCAGTGCAAACCTCTTATTGATAAAATGCTGGCCAGAATCAAGTCACGGACTACAAGATACTTATCATATGCATGCAGATTACAACTTGTAAAATCAGTACTTCTCTCTATACAAGTATTTTGGTCGCAGGTGTTTGTTCTACCAAAAAAAGTGACCCAACTGGTGGAGGCTACATGTAGGAGCTTCCTATGGACTGGTGGAAGTGAGATATCAAAGAAGACACTTATAGTATGGGATAGACTTTGCCTACCTAGGACTGCATGAGGCCTCAATATCCTGGATATATATGTGTGGAACTTAGCTGCTATCGAAAAATTACTGTGACATGTTTCCAGGAAAAAGGACAACTTATGGGTCAAATAGATTCACTCTTACTATATAAAAAGAGGCACAATGTGGGCAACAAAAGCTACTCAAGCTTCATGGTGCAGAAAATTCTCAAAGCAAAAGTAGTGTTTGATCAAAAGGGCTAACTGAAGAAGAAGTAGCAGCTATGAACAACTATTCAATCAAGAAAGTGTATATACTTATTCGTGGAGATTTCCAGAATACCATGGAGGAGATTGATATGTAACAATGCTGGATTACCTAAGTGGTTGTTTATTCTGTTCCTGGCATTACATAGGAGACTCCAAACAAAAGAAAGGATTGCTTGCTGGGCTAATTTAGATGACATGGACTGTGTCTTATGCTTGAAGGAAAATGAGGACATTGATCATCTATTGTTTGAATGTGAATATGCAAAACAAGTGTGGTCCAAACTGTTTATATGCAAGGCATCAATAGGAATGCTAGCAATTGGCAGCACGAAGTCACATGAGCAACTGAACATGCAAAAAAGAAAAATGCAGATCAAGAAATATATCGGATGACTTTAGCTGGAGGAGTATACCACCTGTGGCAAGAAAGGAATGCAAGGATCTTCAAGACTCAACTGAGAACTGCTGATCAAGTGACGAGACAAGTATAAGAGAGATACATCAAAGAGCACGTAGAATACATGAGCTAGACAGACGCATGT